GACAGCGAACACGGCTGGGTGCGGGCAGACTCGTGCTGCGGCCGGCGGCGGCTGTGCCCGGGAAGCACGAGGGCAGCCGGCCGCAGCAGCGCCTGCTTCAGTGCGGAGGCAGCAGAGACCGAGGGCGTGGCGGTGACAAGCTGGTTTTGCGGTGAAGCAGGGAAGCAGGACCACGGGGACGAAAAGGCGAGGAGGAGGGAGAAGGGTTGAGCGGACCCTACAGGCCAGCGCCCGCTCCCCCCAAGGTACCCAAAGAAGAAATGGGTCCTGTTGTGTTGCAGTTAGCTGCTTTTGTGTGCTCACGTGCCTCCCACAGTCTCATTTCCTGGGAATTCTTGGCCGGCATCCGGGCATTTGTCCCGCTGGCAAAGTGACGGGGCGTGGGGATGTGTGTATCACTCACGGTCCAACCGTGGAGGCTTTCTCTGCCTTGCTTGACTGCCAGGCGAAGCCTTCCTGGGGACAGGGTTGCAAGCACATATAAAGCCACTTTAAGAACATAACGTATGTTGAGGCATAAATAAAAATCAGATTTGTCCCTCTCAGGTCTTCACCGAATTGCTTCTGCTTGAACTGGTTTCTTTATTTGATGAGATAAAAATGGGGTTATTTTCCTGCCTTGGTCTAGATCTAGAGCAAATAATTTGAATTTCATGTGAGGAAGTTGTTATTCTAGGGGAAACAGGGATACTAAAAAGGATGCATTTCTTTGGGAGACAATGATAGGTTGTGCTGAAGGCAGGACTCACAACTTGTAGCAAGGTCACTATTGGTATTCTTGGAACATACTTAATATTAACACTTATGTTATGGACACAAAAATACCAAGGCATGTTTAGCAAATCTTGATGATGAGCACAATCAAAATCTTTTGTCCACACAGAGGAGGATGTGCAAGAGAGAGAAGAAGGAACTGTGCTCAATTTTGGGCCCCTCATGACAAAAAAGTCACTGACGAGCTGAAGTGTACAGAAAAGGAGCACAAGGAGTGGCTGAGGGAGCTGGGGCAGCTCAGCCTGGAGAAAAGGAGGCTCAGGAAGGACCTTCCCACTCTCTATAACTCCCTGAAAGGAGGTCCAAGCCAGGTCGGAGTTGGTTTCTTCTCCCATGTAGCAAGTAACAGGATAAGATAAAATAGCCTCAAGTTGTGCCAGGAGAGGTTTACACTGGATGTTAGGAAAAATTTATTCACTGTGAAGGTTATCAAACACTGGCATAGGCTGCCCAAGGCAGGGATCGTGGAGTCACCATCCCTAGAGAGGTTTAAAAGACAGGGGTTAAAGGTGAACATGGTAGTGGTGCTATTGATAGATGATCTTGATGATCCTGGAGGGCTTTTCCAGCCTAAATGATTCTATGATTATATGAGTTCCATGGCTGAGGAACTGAGTAGTGAGAACTGACCGATGTGGTGGTATGAAGTGAAGGGTGTGTGTTGGGTGCAGTAATAAGAACTAAGAGTTAAGACCTCACCCAAAGTTTCTGCTCCAGTCTGATTCAAAAAAGGTGAATTCACACTGAAACTTGACAGAACTGCAGTGGGAAGTCCAGGGGAGTGTAGAAGCTGTTTTATAAGAGGAGCTGCCTTATTTAGACAAGGGGAATGAAGACAGAGAGGGAATATGATCATGCTCTTGTAATGAAATCAAAGAGGAAAGGTAGGGTAAACGCCTCAGATAATTTAAAAGGCTTTTAACGCGAAAAGGTAATATTGGCACATGAACAAACAGACATACACTGTCCATGAATAAATTTCAGCTGAAAATTAGAAAAATCAGCAGGGGACTGAGGCTGTGGAAGAGTTTACCAGCCAGGAGAAAGGGAGCAAAAATGTACCTAGTTTCAGGATGGATCTTAATAATTTTATTGGCAGGACTCTGTAGTGCTTATTGACACCAGGGAACTGGGCTGGTGCCTCTACAGAGAGGTTCTGCTCAGGAGCACAGTGATAGTGGAAAGGAGGTCACCCTGTATTTGCAAGTGCTTCTCCCTTGTAGGAGCCTTGCAGGTATTTTACTGGCATCCTAGAGCTTTTCCAGACTACCATGGTGGCATCTCACATAAGAGATGTTTCGCGTGGCCTTGTCACAGAAATAATAGTTCAGTTAATAGGTGCTTATTTAAATAATAAGAGTATTTTCTTCTGGCCATCAATTTTTGGGGAAACGAGACTAACAGTTTTAAAAAGTATTTGCTAAAAATATTATGTGAAATGTTTTTAACAGTCTCTTTAAGTCAATTTTTTTTTTTTAAAGTAGTTTTTGCTAGTCAGCCACTTCCAAGAGCTGGACTTGGTGGAAGAACCCACTAGGTTTGTTTTCAAGGTGACATGTCTGTTACACCTTGACCATGTTTTGGTGTTCCTGTAACTGCCACCCTACAACCCCTTCCAGTTAAATTGTGTAAGCAGTGGGTAGTGCAGTATTGTGGTACTCTTGCTGTTTTTCTGATCTGTGTTCAAATCTAAGAGTTTGTAGGAAGCTGTCAGAGTTTTGTGGCTGTTTCTTTGTTACAGGTAGCTTTGGATTGCTGTGAAGGCAGCTCTCAGAGGGAAGCCATGGGCAATATGCTCAGGAAGGTGGATGAAGTGAAGACCCTGAAAGTGGAAACTTCTGGGGGCTGTGAAAGGATACTTCCCTGGACTCCAGCTTCTGCCAGACAACTTGGTGGCAAGTTTAAACATCTCTGATGGTAAAGGTATGAGTAAGCTAAGCTTCCATTGGTAACTTTACTGTATGGTAGCGACTGCCTTTGAAAACAAATACCTAAAAAATCCCCTAAACTGGAGATGTCTTGATGTTAAATACAGTGTCTTACTTGGAATTCCTTGTGATTGAGGAAGATGGGGGAAAAATTTATTTGGGCTGTGCTTCTTTCCTTGATCCAAGTAGCATTTCTGCTTGTGTTGGTCACTGACTCATGGTCCCCTGTGTGGAGCAGTGTGCTGATGGAAATCCTACACTTAGTGTCCCCATTACACATCATTCTGTTGGATGGCCAGGCCACTCCTCTTACTCATTTTGGTGAGATTTTATTGTTTGCTCTCTGCCTGTGATGGCTCAGGGACTCAGGAGCCCCCGTGTTTTGCCTATGGGACAACCTTCCAAGTTTAGATAGGTTTAGGCGCACCCTGAACAATTGAGATCAAGAGACTCTGAAGTCATATAAAATTTAAAACTAAATTAACATGCAGTGAAATGTAAATGAGGATTTAATAGAAAGCAAAACTGCACTCATAATGCTGATAATTTCCTCTGTAGCATACATTCCCAACAGGCACTTGGCTTTGTCATTTGTTAAGCACGATTGCTTTCTCAAAACCAGATTCCCAGCATGGTTAATTATCTCATGGTAATACCCATTCCAAGGAGGAGCATTACTTAATTACACAGAACTGAGTTTCCTTAAATTGCAGCTCGAACAAACAGAAGCACAGATATTTCTTACAATGAAAATGAAGAGGGAGGGGATGATTTGAGTCCGCTGGCAACTGATGAATTAACTGGTGGTACCTTTGGTGTCCCATGCTGTCCAGCTAATGGGGAGCAGGAGGTCCTGTACTGTGGCACATGGTATGTGCTGGTTCTTGAGATCACCTTGGCATGGTGGCAGAGCAGTGAGGGCATTCATAACAACTCAATTTTGTCATAAAATCAGAAGCATTCTGATGGGAGAAGAAGGAAAATATTTCATCTGTGAATTTCCCTCAGTTTTGCTGGGAATCAGATTGATGTCTCCAAGAAGTCTTTTTTCAGGGAGCTGTTCATAGTAGCTCAGAATCTTCCACTGAATATCCCCTGAGCCTGCTATTGCTTCCTTCCCATCCCAGGGAGTTTTCTCTTCTCTACATGGCACTGTGTATTTTCTGAGTCCCAGAGACTTTACCTTTATTTCCCAAGCTGTGCTTCCTGCTTTTCTCCCATGTAGTGCTGTGAGAATGATGGATTGTTCTGGTTGATACCAAACCAGAATGATTAAAAGACACAAGCACAAAAATCATGCATGGATATCTGGGATGAAGGTTTGCAGTTTGGTTTCTCCCACTGAAGTATAACTGTGTATCTTCTTCAACTTAGTAACTGTAATGGTGAAAAAATCTTTTTCAGATTAATATATTTGCCAATTTCCAGTTTTATTTATCAAGTGACAAGAACAATCCTAGATTACTTTTGGGACACAGTAGATTTTTCCCAAGTCTCTTCATTATCCTGGATAAAC